GCTCTCTAGATAGCTCAGCTTGTTCCTTCATCTGAGATTGTAGAGCTTCAATCTGTAGCAACAGACTCTCTGGCTCTGCCTGCTGCTGGTCTGAATCAGGATGGACAGCTTTGGGCTGGGCGCTGTTGGACTGAAATGAGGATTGGAAAATATTGATGGATGGTAACAGGATCAACCTGCTGGTACAGACTCGGACAAAAGAAACCACCATTTTGGAGATGATCTGATCAATTATCGTGATTGAAGCAACTTTACTGGGATAACGTATGTAACTAAACTCACTTCTCAGGGGAGTAACTACAGGTAATTTCATCAGCTGATCAAGGAATTATCAACACACCTACCAAAAGCTGCAACAGATATATATATTTACTATTAATACTATGAAAGTAAGTAAAGTCTGTCATTAGCCAATACATCTCTGGTTTCAAAGGCATGAAACGACCGAGGATATTTTTTTATCCCCCCTGGATAGGATGCCAGTCCATTGCAGGTTACTTCCCAGCTAATATCGGTACCCATTTATACTCCTGGGTGGAGAGAGGCAAGTGGGGGTGAAGTGGCTTGCCCAAGGACACACATATAACCGGCAACTAGATTCGGACCCCTGACCCTCTGATCATGAGTCACAAACCTTAACCATATTAATGCTTAAACAAAACTTAAAATCCCATAGACCTTATAAATAGTTAATGCGATGCCCACTGCCATGTACCAATACATCAGATTCGAGCCAGCCAACCGATCCCATTAGCTCAGTGGTCAAGTGGTAAAACATCTGCACTAGAAAGCAGGAGGTTGTGGGTTCGAGTCCCAACCGAGTGATTTTTTCCAACTTTTACTCAGGAGGTAACACACTGAGTATTCAGTGTTTATACATCAATGAAGGGCAAAACCTGATTTGACATACATTGTATTAATACTATGATCCACTAGTTTATCTGACCAACAAATACTAAAAATGGGCCTGATATGGTTGGTATGAGATCTGAGGAGTGTTGGCTTTGCAATGTTTTATCAACCACCCTTTGCCTCAACCATACCGGTATGTAATCTCTACCTACCTTTTGTGTTAGCAGTAACTCTGTGTTGTGCATTCCTCCGTGTTCTGTTGTTCTGTGGTCTGCTTGGCACTTCGGCTTTTAAACCCAATATTTCACCCTCTGGAGAAAAAAAAACCAGACAGGCAAGTAAGAAGAAAACATGAGACGTCTTGGAAATTACAGGTTACACCTTCATATACCTTTGAAATCTGATGGACAGTGTGTGCAGATATATAATTGTTTGCCAGAATAAAATGCAATGTTCAAAGTTGGGTCAAAAGTCTTCTAATGCCCGACTGTAATTCATTGTAATAAACCAGTTCTGTATTTCAATGACCTGAGGTCATTTGGGATAACATTGCTGACACGATGTTAGGCGATGTTACGCGCACGACCACTCTGGTGGTAATTTACACACAAGCGTCGCGCACCCGCATTCATGCACCTTTGATCGTTCTACTATCCCGAATGACCGGTGACCCATATCGTTGTGCACATAAGCAGTTGAAATACCGAACTGGCTTATCCATGGCATTCCTTGAGTTGTTTGCTTGTTTGGAAAAGGATGAGACATTTAGGACAACTTGAAGAACTGTTGACACTTAAAATACCCAATACAAGGGAACTTGACTAGGTTTACTCTTAATAATGTTCAAATGGGGGCAGTTCCGCAGTGTCAGACGTACATTTTGGGCAATTCAACAGTGTATGTAATTGTAGTTATAATCACGGGGTAGATTTTAATTCTGATAAAACATATCAGTTAGTCACTAGTTACTTTGATGAGTCAAAGAAGAAATTATTCATCCAACTTTGTTGCTGTAGTAGAAATTGGCTCAAAACACCGGACGTACTCAGACAAATCAATTTTTTGTATTGTCATCAATTGATTTTCCATTTACAAGTAACAGCCAAACTGTTGAACTTGTTAGGGAATGTACAACATTTGCTTTTGCTGTAATGTTCAAAATAAGTGCATCTGGGGGATTAGTGTGCTATAAAAAATATTGTTAAAGGGCATGTACAACATTTGCTTTTGCTGCAATAATCAGAAATAAATGGATTTGGAGGATTAGTATGTTTTAGCAAATATTGTTAAAATGACTTGTTTCACGTTTTGGGCTTGTAGATGTTGGAAAAACCAAGAAAACCATTCATGTTCTTGTAGTCTGGTTCACAGACCCCATTTAAGATGAAACGGAGAATTTATAGACTTTGGGGGATTGTAAGATCAGAGAGGCAGTCTAGTAGGCTTGTACCCCTTCAAAGGTGTGTAATCAATTGCACAGAAAACACAGAATAACTAATTATGAAAAATTAGGAGTAGTTTTAAAAAAAAAACAGTTTTCTCCATTGCTGGTCGGCCGACCAGCGTTGGAAAAATACCATTTTTTTTTTTTAAATGTCAGCACACCAGGAGCCACGATTTTACAGGATGCTTTAGGCTGTCATTCCCTAAAGTTGAAAAAAATCACTCCGGTCGAACCCATGACCTCCTGCTTTCTAGTGCAGATGTCTTACCACTTGACCACCGAGCTAACGGGATCAGTTGGCTGGTTCGAATCTGATGTACATAGCAGCGGGTACTACATTAACTATTCATAAGATGGTAAGACATCTGCAATAGAAAGCAGGAGGTCGTGGGTTCGAGTCCCACCGGAGTGATTTTTTTCCAACTTTCACTCGGGAGGAAACACACTGAGAATACAGTGTTTATACATCGGTGATGGACAAAACCTAATTTGGTTTTATTAGTCAATTGACTCATGTAATTTCAGCAAGCACACACTGCATATGCCTCCATGTTATTTTGGCAAGATGTGTTGCCAATATACCAGTGTGGAAAGACTGTGGTTTCTAAAATAACTAAGATCAAAGTGCTTTACATTATTATTACCCCTGATCATTGGGCCAATGAAACATTGCAAATACAATCTCAGCTTCCTGTGGAATATGGATTTTTATTCACGAGGAAGTCATTTTAGTCATGTTCCCTGACAGTATTTTATAAACTATTGAATAGGATGGTGCCAGACTATTTTTGCATTCTAGCCTCACTTTCAATTTTTATTTTAAATGTGGCTTAAAAACATTAGGGTATGTTTAACAACAAATTTAAATTTTCATTAAAGCAGACTGGTATTAATTTGTAATTAATTTTATGTCACTGCTTTAATTTCTCTTTGCAAGTTCCAAATATGAAGATTTTACCTCGCTTTCAATTTAATATAGTCGACTCCTGAATAAAGCCCATACAGCTCGGTGTAGTCATTTCGACGCAAGGTAGCTAAAATCAATCACAATTGCGATCTCTGTTCTCACAGGTACCCATTTACTCCTGGGTGGGGCGAAGCAATGAGTGACAAAGTGTCTTGCCAAAGGGAACATGCACCATAACCCCAGGCTGGACTCGAACCCACAACCTGTAGAATTACCCGCAGACAACGAGTTCAATGCTCCAGACCATGAGGCCAGGGCACTCCACATATTTAGAAATGTTTTGCCAATTCATGCAACAACACAAACACCAGGTAATATAATCTATTTGAAACCCCTGCCCGTTGTCCAAACTGCACACATGTGCATTTATCTTTATTGGTACCTTCAAGGATGTAACTGGGGTCCAAGTTGCTGGAGGGCCCTAAAGGGACCTCAGTTTCTAGTAGGAGGCAGTCTTTGAGCAGAGGGGTCCATGCCCCTCATCCTCCTCCCCTATCATTAGCTATGCCACTGGGCACCTTTGTCAAGTTCATTTAAGATTATAAGGAATCAATGAAGGGAGTTCCTACTTTTCATTGAGGGAGTGAATCTTGGAGCGATCTCTCTCAATCACAGTCTGCATCTCTTCCATCCTGACCCTACGATCCTCCAGCAAGGCTTCCGTCTGCTCTCTAGATAGCTCAGCTTGTTCCTTCATCTGAGATTGTAGAGCTTCAATCTGTAGCAACAGACTCTCTGGCTCTGCCTGCTGCTGGTCTGAATCAGGATGGACAGCTTTGGGCTGGGCGCTGTTGGACTGAAATGAGGATTGGAAAATATTGATGGATGGTAACAGGATCAACCTGCTGGTACAGACTCGGACAAAAGAAACCACCCTTTTGGAGATGATCTGATCAATTATCGTGATTGAAGCAACTTTACTGGGATAACGTATGTAACTAAACTCACTTCTCAGGGGAGTAACTACAGGTAATTTCATCAGCTGATCAAGGAATTATCAACACACCTACCAAAAGCTGCAACAGATATATATATTTACTATTAATACTATGAAAGTAAGTAAAGTCTGTCATTAGCCAATACATCTCCGGTTTCAAAGGCATGAAACGACCGAGGATATTTTTTTATCCCCCCTGGATAGGATGCCAGTCCATTGCAGGTTACTTCCCAGCTAATATCGGTACCTATTTATACTCCTGGGTGGAGAGAGGCAAGTGGGGGTGAAGTGGCTTGCCCAAGGACACACATATAACCGGCAACTAGATTCGGACCCCTGACCCTCTGATCATGAGTCACAAACCTTAACCATATTAATGCTTAAAAAAAAATTAAAATCCCATAGACCTTATAAATAGTTAATGCGATGCCCGCTGCCATGTACCAATACATCAGATTCGAGCCAGCCAACCGATCCCATTAGCTCAGTGGTCAAGTGGTAAAACATCTGCACTAGAAAGCAGGAGGTTGTGGGTTCGAGTCCCAACCGAGTGATTTTTTCCAACTTTTACTCAGGAGGTAACACACTGAGTATTCAGTGTTTATACATCAATGAAGGGCAAAACCTGATTTGACATACATTGTATTAATACTATGATCCACTAGTTTATCTGACCAACAAATACTAAAAATGGGCCTGATATGGTTGGTATGAGATCTGAGGAGTGTTGGCTTTGCAATGTTTTATCAACCACCCTTTGCCTCAACCATACCGGTATGTAATCTCTACCTACCTTTTGTGTTAGCAGTAACTCTGTGTTGTGCATTCCTCCGTGTTCTGTTGTTCTGTGGTCTGCTTGGCACTTCGGCTTTTAAACCCAATATTTCACCCTCTGGAAAAAAAAAACCAGACATTGCTGGTCGGCCGACCAGCGTTGGAAAAATACCATTTTTTTTAAAAAATGTCAGCACACCAGGAGCCACGATTTTACAGGATGCTTTAGGCTGTCATTCCCTAAAGTTGAAAAAAATCACTCCGGTCGAACCCATGACCTCCTGCTTTCTAGTGCAGATGTCTTACCACTTGACCACCGAGCTAACGGGATCAGTTGGCTGGTTCGAATCTGATGTACATAGCAGCGGGTACTACATTAACTATTCATAAGATGGTAAGACATCTGCAATAGAAAGCAGGAGGTCGTGGGTTCGAGTCCCACCGGAGTGATTTTTTTCCAACTTTCACTCGGGAGGAAACACACTGAGAATACAGTGTTTATACATCGGTGATGGACAAAACCTAATTTGGTTTTATTAGTCAATTGACTCATGTAATTTCAGCAAGCACACACTGCATATGCCTCCATGTTATTTTGGCAAGATGTGTTGCCAATATACTAGTGTGGAAAGACTGTGGTTTCTAAAATAACTAAGATCAAAGTGCTTTACATTATTATTACCCCTGATCATTGGGCCAATGAAACATTGCAAATACAATCTCAGCTTCCTGTGGAATATGGATTTTTATTCACGAGGAAGTCATTTTAGTCATGTTCCCTGACAGTATTTTATAAACTATTGAATAGGATGGTGCCAGACTATTTTTGCATTCTAGCCTCACTTTCAATTTTTATTTTAAATGTGGCTTAAAAACATTAGGGTATGTTTAACAACAAATTTAAATTTTCATTAAAGCAGACTGGTATTAATTTGTAATTAATTTTATGTCACTGCTTTAATTTCTCTTTGCAAGTTCCAAATATGAAGATTTTACCTCGCTTTCAATTTAATATAGTCGACTCCTGAATAAAGCCCATACAGCTCGGTGTAGTCATTTCGACGCAAGGTAGCTAAAATCAATCACAATTGCGATCTCTGTTCTCACAGGTACCCATTTACTCCTGGGTGGGGCGAAGCAATGAGTGACAAAGTGTCTTGCCAAAGGGAACATGCACCATAACCCCAGGCTGGACTCGAACCCACAACCTGTAGAATTACCCACAGACAACGAGTTCAATGCTCCAGACCATGAGGCCAGGGCACTCCACATATTTAGAAATGTTTTGCCAATTCATGCAACAACACAAACACCAGGTAATATAATCTATTTGAAACCCCTGCCCGTTGTCCAAACTGCACACATGTGCATTTATCTTTATTGGTACCTTCAAGGATGTAACTGGGGTCCAAGTTGCTGGAGGGCCCTAAAGGGACCTCAGTTTCTAGTAGGAGGCAGTCTTTGAGCAGAGGGGTCCATGCCCCTCATCCTCCTCCCCTATCATTAGCTATGCCACTGGGCACCTTTGTCAAGTTCATTTAAGATTATAAGGAATCAATGAAGGGAGTTCCTACTTTTCATTGAGGGAGTGAATCTTGGAGCGATCTCTCTCAATCACAGTCTGCATCTCTTCCATCCTGACCCTACGATCCTCCAGCAAGGCTTCCGTCCGCTCTCTAGATAGCTCAGCTTGTTCCTTCATCTGAGATTGTAGAGCTTCAATCTGTAGCAACAGACTCTCTGGCTCTGCCTGCTGCTGGTCTGAATCAGGATAGACAGCTTTGGGCTGGGCGCTGTTGGACTGAAATGAGGATTGGAAAATATTGATGGATGGTAACAGGATCAACCTGCTGGTACAGACTCGGACAAAAGAAACCACCATTTTGGAGATGATCTGATCAATTATCGTGATTGAAGCAACTTTACTGGGATAACGTATGTAACTAATCTTGGAAAGTTCATGGTATGATGAGGCGGCTTTTTTGCCAAACTCACTTCTCAGGGGAGTAACTACAGGTAATTTCATCAGCTGATCAAGGAATTATCAACACACCTACCAAAAGCTGCAACAGATATATATATTTACTATTAATACTATGAAAGTAAGTAAAGTCTGTCATTAGCCAATACATCTCCGGTTTCAAAGGCATGAAACGACCGAGGATATTTTTTTATCCCCCCTGGATAGGATGCCAGTCCATTGCAGGTTACTTCCCAGCTAATATCGGTACCTATTTATACTCCTGGGTGGAGAGAGGCAAGTGGGGGTGAAGTGGCTTGCCCAAGGACACACATATAACCGGCAACTAGATTCGGACCCCTGACCCTCTGATCATGAGTCACAAACCTTAACCATATTAATGCTTAAAAAAAATTAAAATCCCATAGACCTTATAAATAGTTAATGCGATGCCCGCTGCCATGTACCAATACATCAGATTCGAGCCAGCCAACCGATCCCATTAGCTCAGTGGTCAAGTGGTAAAACATCTGCACTAGAAAGCAGGAGGTTGTGGGTTCGAGTCCCAACAGAGTGATTTTTTCCAACTTTTACTCAGGAGGTAACACACTGAGTATTCAGTGTTTATACATCAATGAAGGGCAAAACCTGATTTGACATACATTGTATTAATACTATGATCCACTAGTTTATCTGACCCACAAATACTAAAAATGGGCCTGATATGGTTGGTATGAGATCTGAGGAGTGTTGGCTTTGCAATGTTTTATCAACCACCCTTTGCCTCAACCATACCGGTATGTAATCTCTACCTACCTTTTGTGTTAGCAGTAACTCTGTGTTGTGCATTCCTCCGTGTTCTGTTGTTCTGTGGTCTGCTTGGCACTCTGGCTTTTAAACCCCAATATTTCACCCTCTGGAAAAAAAAAACCAGACAGGCAAGTAAGAAGAAAACATGAGACGTCTTGGAAATTACAGGTTACACCTTCATATACCTTTGAAATCTGATGGACAGTGTGTGCAGATATATAATTGTTTGCCAGAATAAAATGCAATGTTCAAAGTTGGGTCAAAAGTCTTCTAATGCCCGACTGTAATTCATTGTAATAAACCAGTTCTGTATTTCAATGACCTGAGGTCATTTGGGATAACATTGCTGACACGATGTTAGGCGATGTTACGCGCACGACCACTCTGGTGGTAATTTACACACAAGCGTCGCGCACCCGCATTCATGCGCCTTTGATCGTTCTACTATCCCGAATGACCGGTGACCCATATCGTTGTGCACATAAGCAGTTGAAATACCGAACTGGCTTATCCATGGCATTCCTTGAGTTGTTTGCTTGTTTGGAAAAGGATGAGACATTTAGGACAACTTGAAGAACTGTTGACACTTAAAATACCCAATACAAGGGAACTTGACTAGGTTTACTCTTAATAATGTTTAAATGGGGGCAGTTCCGCAGTGTCAGACGTACATTTTGGGCAATTCAACAGTGTATGTAATTGTAGTTATAATCACGGGGTAGATTTTAATTCTGATAAAACATATCAGTTAGTCACTAGTTACTTTGATGAGTCAAAGAAGAAATTATTCATCCAACTTTGTTGCTGTAGTAGAAATTGGCTCAAAACACCGGACGTACTCAGACAAATCAATTTTTTGTATTGTCATCAATTGATTTTCCATTGACAAGTAACAGCCAAACTGTTGAACTTGTTAGGGAATGTACAACATTTGCTTTTGCTGCAATGTTCAAAATAAGTGCATCTGGGGGATTAGTGTGCTATAAAAAATATTGTTAAAGGGCATGTACAACATTTGCTTTTGCTGCAATAATCAGAAATAAATGGATTTGGAGGATTAGTATGTTTTAGCAAATATTGTTAAAATGACTTGTTTCACGTTTTGGGCTTGTAGATGTTGGAAAAACCAAGAAAACCATTCATGTTCTTGTAGTCTGGTTCACAGACCCCATTTAAGATGAAACGGAGAATTTATAGACTTTGGGGGATTGTAAGATCAGAGAGGCAGTCTAGTAGGCTTGTACCCCTTCAAAGGTGTGTAATCAATTGCACAGAAAACACAGAATAACTAATTATGAAAAATTAGGAGTAGTTTTAAAAAAAAAAAACAGTTTTCTCCATTGCTGGTCGGCCGACCAGCGTTGGAAAAATACCATTTTTTTTTAAAAAATGTCAGCACACCAGGAGCCACGATTTTACAGGATGCTTTAGGCTGTCATTCCCTAACAATCCACTAAGGTATTTAGTGATACTTTGTTCATATCGTTTTGTAATATTTGCCAATGTTGTATCTTCCCTTTAAACTGACCTATTTCACGTTTTGGGTTCGGAAATGCCAGAAAATCTAAGAAATCCAACCATGTTCTTGTGGTCTGGTGACATGAGACGTAAGATGAGACGTAGCACTTTGTACACTTTGAGGAAGTTAGGTCAGAGAATCAGTCTAGCAGGCTTGTACCCCTACACAGATGCGTAATTGATTGCAAAGAAAATGCGGAATGACTAAATATGAAAAGTTAGGAGCAGTTTTTGAAAAAAGCCAGTTTTCTCCAACGATGTTCGGCCGACCAGTGTATGAATAATACAAGGTTTCTTGAAAATGTCAGCACACCAGGAGCCACGATTTTACAGGATGCTTTAGACTGTCATTCACTGACAGTCCAGTAATATATTTCGTCATAATTTGATCATTTCGTTTTTTGATGTTTGCAATGATGTTGTATCTTCCCTTTTAAATAAACTACATGTCAATAAAATACAGATAATATGCTTCAAATTGATATGTATATTTCTTTTGTGGCATTTTGGCCATTAAGAATTGTTGGCATTCAGGTTTATAATTCTGTAGAATTGCCCATGGATGGGCGAGGGAATTGATTAACAAATTTTGGCCAAGGACATTGACAAATATGAGTCTGCAGCCCCGTTGGTAGAGTTGCCAGTGCGGTGTTACACACTGACCTGCATGTGGATGTCTCTTTTGTGGGTGTTTCTGTGTGACAATTGCCCGCGTTGATGGTTCTTTGTGGAAGTATGTCACTTCAGGACCTGATGGGCTTGATAATGATAACAGATGCTGGATTCTGTCAAGTACAAATCAAATCATTGGAAAAGTTCAAGTTAGTACACCTTTGGTAAATCCAAACTAACAGGGTTTGTTTACTTCCATATCACATTATACGTGTAACTGATTGTACATGTGGGGTATTAAAGCAGCACCAACATTCATACATGTTCATGAATGCATCATCTCTAAACATACTTTTGCACTAGTGTGGAACAAATTGCAATTGCTTAGTCTAGACAAGGGTTGTGCAAAATATACCGAATATCCAAATATTTGATCATCCACCGAATATCCGAATAGCATTTTATCAAATTGAATTGTTTTTTTAATGTGAGCAATGACAAAAAAACGTCCATGATGTGATTTTATGAGTTTAAGTTGAGAGATTTGATTTGTTTAGTCAAACGCCACACTTTACGCAGATGGTTTGAGAGTTTTCATGAGGAATGTAAGCCCTAATGTGGATCTTCAATATCTGCCAAATGCCAGGTTGTCAGCTAGCTCAAAATCTATATCGATACATTCCAAATTATTTCAATGTCATTGGATGATTTTTTTGTTCAAATTCAAGTTCCAATATTCAAAGACTAAATTATTGGAAAAATGCACAACATTAATAGAGACCTGTTTTGTGAAGCACACCTAGAGAGAACTTGAAGCTCTACCCAGCCCTGCAAACAATGACCTGTACTCTGCCCGCAAGGTTGTCAGTCCGTCATTGCCAATCAAAGAATCCTCCCCAACAGTCACCATCCATCTGCACAACATACAGATTACAGGTACAATGTATATATACATGTACATGGATTCAATTCAGCCTCAGGACAGGCAGTAGCACTGCTATTGTGACAAGGTTTTTGCAGTCGCTTTGCCAACCAACCTCTTTGTCGACAACCACTTCAACGATTTGCTACTTCACCGAATAACCACTTCGCCTACTTGCCACTCCGTCGAATTACCACTTCGCTGCACGCAAACGCACGTACTAACAAGTTTGTTATGGTGTAAATCAAGGATTTTCTAATGTTTCTCTTCCCTTTCCTTTGTTTATACTCTGAACATTTTTGCATCTGCTCTCATTGGTTTAGTACACGTTTTCTAATCGAACTCGTCTTCCATTTACAATTCATTGATGACGTTGCATGTGTGTGTCCTTGATTTACACCATAAAGAAATGCCTACAGACACGTACATGTATGTATGGAGCCATAAAAATGAGTTACATGAAAAACTTGGGGTTGTTTTACCCCTTCCTATCCAAACCCATATGAGATTCAACTTTTTTCATTCTATAGTCAACTTGAAACAGTACTGAAGGGGATGAAGATTTAAAAAGAAAAAAAAAAAAAGTTTCTGAGAATTAACTGTGTGCGACCAAAAACATGGTCACCGTGTACGGACAGTCAATGATTAATATATTTTATAAATTCCACTTCTTCACTTTCAAAGTGAATTGAGAGGACAATGTCACATAAACCTAGTAAAAGAAGACACAACAAGTATGAAAACCACTTAATATTAAGTACCAGTCAGCTGTTATAATTACCATGAGTTTGTGCATGCGAGCATAATGTGTTAGCAAATACTTTCGGCGAAGTGGTAATTGGGCAAAGCAGTAATTTGGCTAAGTGGTAATTTGGCTGGTTTCGATCCAACTCGGACCCAAACCAAGTCGGACCCAAGCCAACTCGGACCCAGGCCAACTCGGACCCACTACCAACTCGGACCCACGCCAACTCAATCGGACCCACTACCAACTCGGATCCACAACCAACTCGGACCCACTACCAACTCGGACCCATGCATGACCAACTCGGACTCATCTTTTACAATCATTTGACAGCGTTTACAATTATTTGACAATTTCATAAAGTTTGTCCACTTATCATCTGTTAATACAGTGATGTTTTTAAGTATAAACAGTCACCATCCATCTGCACAACATACAGATTACAGGTACATGTACATGGATTCAATTCAGCCTCAGGACAGGCAGTAGCACTGCTATTGTGACAAGGTTTTTGCAGTCGCTTTGCCAACCAACCTCTTTGTCGACAACCACTTCAACGATTTGCTACTTCACCGAATAACCACTTCGCCTACTTGCCACTCCGTCGAATTACCACTTCGCTGAATGACCACTTCGCCGAATTGCACGCAAACGCACGTACTAACAAGTTTGTTATGGTGTAAATCAAGGATTTTCTAATGTTTCTCTTCCCTTTCCTTTGTTTATACTCTGAACATTTTTGCATCTGCTCTCATTGGTTTAGTACACGTTTTCTAATCAAACTCGTCTTCCATTTACAATTCACTGATGATGTTGCATGTGTGTGTCCTTGATTTACACCATAAAGAAATGCCTACAGACACGTACATGTATGTATGGAGCCATAAAAACGAGCTACATGAAAAACTTGGGGTTGTTTTACCCCTTCCTATCCAAACCCATATGAGATTCAACTTTTTTCATTCTATAGTCAACTTGAAACAGTACTGAAGGGGATGAAGATTTAAAAAGAAAAAAAAAAAGTTTCAGAATTAACTGTGTGCGACCAAAAACATGGTCACCGTGTACGGACAGTCAATGATTAATATATTTTATAAATTCCACTTCTGCACTTTCAAAGTGAATTGAGAGGACAATGTCACATAAACCTAGTAATAGAAGACACAACAAGTATGAAAACCACTTAATATTAAGTACCAGTCAGCTGTTATAATTACCATGAGTTTGTGCATGCGAGCATAATGTGTTAGCAAATACTTTCGGCGAAGTGGTAATTGGGCAAAGCAGTAATTTGGCTAAGTGGTAATTTGGCTGGTTTCGATCCAACTCGGACCCAAACCAAGTCGGACCCAAGCCAACTCGGACCCAGGCCAACTCGGACCCACTACCAACTCGGACCCACGCCAACTCAATCGGACCCACTACCAACTCGGATCCACAACCAACTCGGACCCACTACCAACTCAGACCCATGCATGACCAACTCGGACTTTTACAATTATTTGACAATTTCATAAAGTTTGTCCACTTATCATCTGTTAATACAGTGATGCTTTTAAGTATAAATTTTCATTGTAGTTGTCAGGTAAAATATCTGTATTGCAGCAGTTTGTCGTCGTAAAGCGCATTGAAATGCTTTTTTGAAATGCGCTTTAAAAGTGTAATTAATTATTTATTTTTATTATTTGTTTCCATTGAAACATATTGCGCTTTAACCAAAAGTAAAATTTAAAATTAAAGTTTAACCAATTATTCATTTTCATATTTGACATCGTTCACGCCATCTTGCTCAATTTAACAGCAATTCATTTCATTTTTAATTCAAACCACATAAATTCAAAACAGATCTTCATAGAAAAATAAAATTGGAAAGTATGACATTGAAACATAAACACTTTCAAACATGACACGATTAATTCAATAAATATAAGTAAACATTATAAGTCATTCAATAAAATAAATAAAGTATAAAACAAAGTCTATTCTAATTTCTACATGTACATTTGTATATGTATTTAACAAAAAAACCCACATAAACACCATTGCATACACTGCAAGAAAAACGAAGGTTCCATATTGAACAAAAAAGGTTAATCAAAAAAGTAAGTTACACAGATTCGTTAAAAAACCCACAAAACTCAAAGCCAGCATGTGAACTAAAAAAAAGATCAACTTATTAAATACCCTACAATTATGAAATGTCAATCATCAAAAAGGAGTATTGGAGCTCTGGGAAGATTATCCTTCAAGGCCTTACAGGTACATTAGCTGTCTGTATGTTCGACTATGATGTTCCATGGGGGAAAAAAGTTAATCAAAAAAGTATAAAAAGTTAAACAGATTCGTAAAAAAAAAAAAAAATTAAACAAACTAACAATTACATGAAATGAAAGGTCTACATGTATTTCAAATTAATAACTTCCTCACTGAACAACATTTTTGTGACATATTGAAATCCTTCATTGAGTGTGATTTAATTTGGTTTATATTATTTGCAGGGTTGTAGTTGAGACCGCATAGTCCGAGACCGAGACCGAGACCAGCCCCTTCAAGGCGGAGACCAATATGGTCCGAGACCGAGACCGAGACCAAGACCGCTGATAATAAATAACAATAGTCGAAATAAAAAAACAAGACACGTTATTATAGTTGAAACTTGTAACCTTTCTATTCACAAAGATTACAGACCAAAATTTTGACCAGTGGCAGTGTTGACAAATTGATACATGACACGTTACTTGAGCAAAAAGTAGTTATACTTAAGAAATATAATGGGCTGCACCCAATCTTGACAAAAGTAAAAGTTAAAGGTAGATGTTTCATCTGTTATAGGAACTCGGATCCTAAACTCCACAGTCACCCCTTGGTTTCAGCTATGACTTCTAACGGATATTTAAAGATGCAATTTTAATTTTACATTGTGCCTCTTTTTTTCCTTAAATAAATATAGGACTTAACTTCTAACAAGACTTGTGTACATGTACTTGATTTTAAAAAATGGGAGCTAGAAAATGTTGAATCAATTTTTAAATTTCTGTCATAGAATGTGGACTTGTACATGTAGACCCACAAGTTGTGAGGTGGTAGCCAGTATGTGCCAGATATGGATTTTTAATTTTTTTCTGAACGGGATTTTAATTTTTGAGGAATAATGGGGTACTTCAAACTGAGCAGCCAGAAAATGGGGTCTCATCATACACTCTCATGGCAACAGTGAGTGGTAACTGGTAAGAGTGTGTGAGTTCAATGCTGGAAAATCAGGTTGAAATATTTACTTTTTCTTCAAAATACTGTCCCAAATTAAAGAGATCATTGTGTGGGGTCGAAAATATATAACTAATTTGAAGCACCTCATTTATTATCAGAATACAAAATGCAAGTGATTACGCCCACAGGGGTGGGCTAAACTACACAATCCCCAAAAATGGTTGACCCTTATTGTATAAATTGTTAGAAGTTTATACTTTGCTTTATGTGCCCGACTCAACAGATAAATGCCGAACTTGTTCCAAATCGTTCAGTGACTGGAACTGCTGCAGCTTTACATGTACTTTGGAGACTTTCCAACGTGCTGTCAAGTCCAAACCGACCGCGATATATAACAAGCTTGATCTACGGGCTAGCAAATGTTTTAACTATTAATTGTACTGAACGAAGTAAACAAAAAGTAATCGATCAAGCTGTAAAAGCTACATATTGCCGGTCTCAACCCGAGACGAGCCAAAATATCGAGACCAAAGGGGACCTAGCCCCATAAATGTGGCCTATTTACTGGACTGCCTCCGTAAACATAGGCCACACATCCACATGTACAAAAATCTTGATTTTCACATTTAGGCTTAGTTTGTAGGTTTTTTTTGCTTTAGAAGCATACTCACCCTCTTTACAGGCTAATCAGAAAGTGCTGCCTTTTTCAGATGTCTAATTTTTGTGAAATTTCATTTTGAAATTTTGATACACAAACGTGTAAAAATGAATCTGGAAATTTCACGAAAAATATACATCTGAAAAAGGCAGCACTTTCTGATTAGCCTATAAAGAAGGTGAGTATACTTCTAAAGCAAAAAAACCCTACAAACTAAGCCTAAATGTGAAAATCAAAATTTGGCTCCGTCGACACGATTTTTGTACATGTGGATGTGTGGCCTATGTTTACGGAGGCAGTCCAGTAAATAGGCCACATTTATGGGGCTAAAGGGGACCAAGACCGAGACCAAGACCGAGACCACAGCTTCCGAGACCGAGACCAAGACCAGCAAAAAGTGGTCTCGAGACCGGTCTCGAGACCTACAACACTGATTATTTGGCACACACCCACAAAAAGCAGATGAAAAAGGAAAACATTGCACATATCCATTTCTTCATGTGAATGAGTAATAAGAGTGCAAAATCAATGTAGTATAATCAAACAACAAAACTAAAAGCCCCATTCTGACCAATATAATTACCGAATATCTTCACTATATAAGCACTATTAAGATGACCTACATGTATAAATATAATCTCTGAAACTAATGATTAAGTCATTGTTGGGTCTGAGTTGGTCGTGCTTGGGTCCGAGTTGGTAGTGGGTCCGAGTTGGTCTTGGGTCCGAGTTGGTAGTGGGTCCGAGTTGGTAGTGGGTCCGAGTTGGCGTGGGTCCAACTTGGCATGGGTCCGACTTGGTTTGGGTCCGAGTTGACCTGATGCCATTTGGCTAAGTGGTTATTCGGCGAAGTGGTAATTCAGCAAAGTGACCAACACCCGTGACAAGCTCAACACACTAATCCAGATCAGCTAATCACTATGATCCATGCAGTGCAGAACATTAGCTGAGAGCCTTAGTCAAGACTTAAAACATCTTCATCAGACAATCCCACGCACCTTTTTCTATCTTCCAGTTCTTGTATCTTCAGGCGGTCATTTTCAGCAAAGAGCCTTAAGACATGATCTCTCTCCTGGAAGAGATAAACCTGCATGTCACTCAGGGCCTTCTGGAGCTCAGCGATTTCTTCCTCACGTTGGCGTAACTCCCATTCAAGCTTATGCTAAACAACAAAGAAAGGGACAAGTATTGTTGTGCTACATGTGACTATGATTTGCAAGTTTATGAGTTGTTCCATTGGAGTAGTGGTAATTTGTACATGTACACACACTGACATAATAATAACCAGAGAAATTTGAAAAAAAAAACAGTATTGTGATTGAAAACATTGGACTATTATTCAAAGTGTTTATTTGAAATCTTATATTTCCCTTTACTTCCTTAATCCAATAACACTTTTACAAAAAGTAACAAATGATGTCACTGTAAAACCTGGTCTTGAAATTGGTTTAAAAAAACCCATTTTCTAACATCTAAGGGGAAAAGATACTATAAAGACCAGGGACAACATTACCCATGCAACTACATGTACGGGGTCTTGACTGATTGATAGATTGCTGTCGTCTTGGATATGTGTCAGAGCAAAACGGGGAATTTTTGTGGGTCATTTTTGGCAGAGTTGGGACAAACTTGACCTATTTAGTTTGTGTACATGTAGGTTACTCAGTATGTAAAGAATGTAAAGAAGCGGAGGCTGATTCCAGAAGTAATGTCATAGATAGAGGGCAGGCTTTTGATTTTTTAAGGGAAATTTGGGGGTAAAATGATGATGACAGAACGGCGACAACAAGCTTCCCAAAAATAAAGATGGCAATCACCACGCAATGTACCGTGCGATCATGTACCATGAGTCTGAGCATGCATGGCGCGCTGAATCGCAAGGCCCAAACAGCACAGTAAATTTTAGTCCAAAATTTGGGACTCTCAATACTGTGTATGAGAGTCCCAAAACTTAAGGTATCCATATCGTGCAAAAGTTTGTGCTGCATAATAAAACCAGTGTGAATCAAATTTGCAAGCTTCTTACTCACTACAGTTTCTTCAATAATCCCCCAAACTTCTGCCTCGCAAAGTTGCTGTTGTGAGCATTGCATCACCAAAAATTCAGCTTTTAATTCTAATTTTGCAGAGAGTTATCGAAATCCTAGCCCGACTGCGTCTGGCCGTACAGTACTATCGCAAGCTCTGTAGTACGGCCAGACGCCCAATGCTTCCACAGAGACTGAATTTTTTTGGCCGCTGATGTAGCGATTTTGCTACAGATTTCGATCAAGATTATCTTTTCATCCAGGACACAAATTCCAAAGTTAAGGTTCTTAGTCGTAGAGCAACTCATACCTTTTCGAAAAAACGTTCTTTTGTCTCAATATTTTCATCCATCTGGCCAAAAGCCGACTTTTCAGTCATCATCTTCCACAAACATCGTCCCGAAAATGCTCCCCCATGCGATTTCAAAATGGCGGCCGCGCTGTAATGTATGCATTATGCGAGCGCGCTTGGGCAAGATAATGAATATGCATTATTTAGTTCATGACCTCGTGTTTGTATGGCCAGCAGCGCGCCGAGAAATGTCCGACTGAAAAGTCGGCTTTTGGCCAGATGGATGAAAATATTGAGACAAAAGAACGTTTTTTCGAAAAGGTATGAGTTGCTCTACGACTAAGAACCTTAACTTTGGAAATTTGTGTCCTGGATGAAAAGATAATCTCGATCGAAATCTGTAGCAAAATCGCTACATCAGCGGCCAAAAAAATTCAGCCTCTGTGGAAGCATTGGGCGTCTGGCCGTACTACAGAGCTTGCGATAGTACTGTACGGCAAGACGCAGTCGGGCTATCGAAATCCATACGTGAGACATCACGTTGATGTGTACTGCAATGCATTGTGCAAAAAGACTCCTCAGCTATAACATTATTATCGTGTAGATAAAACAGCGCCCTCTTGTTGATCTGAGTGAATGCAAAATGTTTCATTTTTTAACAGAGGGCGCTATGTTCATTTGGCCATCGAATAAAAAACAAGTTAGCTGCAAGGCTCTACATACACCGGGGGTCAGACAAGACGACCGTTGAGACAACTCGACTCGGGACAAGTCACCCGTTGAGACAACTCGACCGTTGAGACAACTCGACCGTATGTGCGATAAATGGAAAGACAAGTCGACCGTTGAGACAAGTCGCCTCGCATGTTTTTGGGCCTAGTTTAGGGGATAGTACCGGGGATTTTGACGGCGGCTGATCGCCGTTTGGGAGTTATGACACATAATAGAGCAGAGCCGATATAGCACAGCATGATTGTCCTTGCACATCGTTCGAATTTGCCGGGCCTGTGCGCGCATCTCCGGTCAACCGCGTGGCCGTACCGTGCACGTGCCGTGCACGTTAGCTGTCTCAACGGTCGAGTTGTCCCGAGTCGAGTTGTCTCAACAGCCGACTTGTCCCGAGTCGAGTTGTCTCAACGGTCGACTTGTCTGACATTCCATACACCTACCCAGAATACATTGGGAATCAAACACACATTTCCAGAGCATGGGGATTGACGTTGATGCATGGTTTTTGAACTGCCAAAAACTTGCCTTAAAATTGGATTTAAGGTCTCAAATTTCGCAGGTGACATGCTTGCAACTATATCATTTTAATGTATGTGTTGTGTGGGCATTAATTAGCCTGCCTAATGGTGAGTAAAAAAACGTCAGTAGTAATTTTGCACGTTTTTATGCACTCACGGTCATGACGGTCCCAGTCTGAGTAAATTTGTGAGTAGCCTACCAAAAAGTACCAAATACATTCATTCAAATATGACTGTCTACCCAAAAGTCGGCACAATTGCAGAATACCCCGCCACTCGATCTATCCACCTCGTAGCCGGCTACGAGGTCACGGCTGATTGACCTCAATAAACATTCTCAGCGCTACTTGTATGTACTATGCCGAGTATGCGTCATGCTCCAGGGCGGAGTCCATTGCACTCCCACTTTGTGACCGCGTAGCCACCAACAGGGTAGTTGGTTTGGACTTAGAATTTTTTCAGCAACTCCCATTCCTTTTGTGTTGCTTCGTTCTCAAGCATATTCAAGGGGACTCCCACTCCGTAGCCTCGTAGCCGCCAACAGGGTGGTTGGTTTGGACTTAGAATTTTGTTCAGCAACTCTCATTCATTTTGTGTTGCTTCATTCTCAAATAATGGACCCCCACTCAGGGTAATCCTTACTTTTAGGACACCTCTATTTTTTACGAGTTCTGTTCAAAACTGACTTTTGCAGATGTCTGTCCAGTACCAAAGTGACTTTTGCAGGCTAAAGCAGTCTTTAGAAGTCAAGAAGGTGTCATTGCCAATTGTTCAGATGTGCCAAGAAGTATCAGAATGTCAATTTTGAGTGTCATTTAGTCAACTGTTTTGGTGAGTCTTTCCCTTCCTATATAGGAACGGGGTCCTAAAAGTAAGGATTACCCCACTCAGTATCCGCGTAGCTGGCAATGGACTTGAATTGTTTCTTTTGCAGTGATTCCAACCTCGTAGCCAGTGATTTTAGGGGTGTATTTCCGAGTGGCGGGGTATTCTGCAATTACTCCCAAAAGTCTTCTTTTGATTGTAAAGGTGATTTTTTTAGCAATGAAAAACATTTTTGACTCTAATTTGATCAAAACAAAACAGGGGCCCTCCACTACACGATCGCCGAATTTCCAGTCGGCCAGTCTCCTCCATAGGCCTACACAATCGCGGAAGTGGCGTCAGGTTGTAACTTGCAACATTCTTTCCTAACTAGACATCTAAAAGTGTGGAATTTAACATTTCTAAAAAGTGGTTCAGAAGTATTTACACATCTTATTCTAATCTTAGGAAATGTTATCCTACCTGCTCTGTGGTAAAATGTTCTTAGCAGACATGTTTAACCGGTGACTTTAGGGCGCACTTCCGTTTAAATTTTGCGCTTATCTTATTAAAGTTTAGACAGGTGCCGAGAGGTGCCGATATGCGAAGTAAGGATTGCAAAACAAGTCGTCTGGGGGCCACTTTTTCCTGTCTGTCGACGATAGGACAAAGGGGGCGCTCTTCGCAGGCTGTTCTTTCAGGTCTTTCGGAACCAGTGATCTCCATAATTATGGAGATCAAGTTCGGAACGGCGCAGCCATGCCACAATAACGGTGTCTTCTGCAACTCTGTGCTGTTATTCTATAAAATCAAAGCATTTAGGGTGTTTTTTTCCTCACAGAAGATCCCTAAAAGTTAAGTGACTACACTACCTTAATTTCTGTTGGTTTAGCAATACGATTATTATCGATATGGCGTTTTATGGCATATCAAACATGAATTTAAATACAATTGCATTTGGAAATGTCCTAATAGTCATGCCCTTACATCGTTAGGGTGTAGGTCACTATAGTAGTATGCTACCATATCAAAATATTAAAATGAAAATAGAGCAATCAAATATCTAGACGGATATATTTCGGTAATTTTCGTTACGGTAACTCGCGCTAGTACAGTTAGTCCGCGCATTATTTTGGTGCAAGTTAGACCTAACACATAAGAAACTATTCAAACAAAAATAACTCTTTGTTCGTAGATTATAAACCTTTTCCTGCATCTAAAAACAAAAACTTACAATACCAATTGCACTTTTTGCAAGTGAAAACGAGATGTCTAAAGTAATATAAAATCCACAATTTTAGCCCCACCCCACCCCAAACACAACGGGTTGGGTCAGGGTGACCAATATAGGGTCCGTTGCTCTTCGAGGACGTGTTAACACTGTATAATCAGTATGTTACTTCCTGAGTGAAAGTTGGAAAATATCACTCGGGTGGGACTCAAACCCGCGTCCTCCCGCTTACAATAGTGCAGACGAAATTAATACCAATCAACCACCGAGCTTGCGGGACTGCTGGGGGGGGGGGGGGGGGTCCGCTCATAAGTCCAACGCCTCATAAGACCGACAAAATGGTATCCCCCAACCAAATAAAGGCCCAAGTCCGACGCCTCATAGGTCCGACGCCTCATCATGGCTCCGACGACACCTCAAAGCTCCGACACTCAGTACGCTTCGTTTTTCCGACGTCGAACTTATGAGGCGTCGGACCTATGAGGCGGAATTGTATGCCTCATATGAGGCGTCGGTCCTATGAGGAGTCCGGACTTACGGCCCCGGTCGGGGAAGGGCAAAACCTATTGATTTACATCACCCCGACGCAAGTTCCATCTCATGAATAGTCAAGTTATTTGCGGTACCATAACCGCCGCTACATGTTCATCGGATTAGAACCAGCCAACCGATTTCACAAGCTCCGTACTGGAAAGTACGAAGTCGTGGGTTCGAGTCCCATGCCCCACCCAAGTGATGTTTTCCAATAACTTTCACTCGTAGGAAACATACTGAGTATAGGCTAACAGTGTTTATACGTTGTTTATACGTCGGCGCAGGGCAAAACCTTTAATGATTCACCGTAGGATTGGGACAACTTTCGGCCGGCCTCGAATAAGCTCCCACGAAGAACCGAGTTAAGTCCGAGGGATATGATACCGAAGTTCATCAGCGGGATTGTCTGATTTTTACAGAACACGGATAGTGCCACTCAATGAGTGTGAATATTTTTTGTACAGTGGCCGCCACTTGTGGCGGCCGCCAGATAATAAGTGGCGGCCGCTGTACAAAAAAAATATTTACACACGTACAGAAAAAAATTATATTCACACTTTTTTATGTTGCGGCCGCCAGATAATAAGTGGCAGCCGCTACATAAAAAGTGTGAATAAAATTAATAACTAAAAATTAAATCATTATGACTTATGTGGCGGCATTATGACTTATGTGGCGGCCGCCACTTATTATCTGGCGGCGTAATAAGTGGCGGCTGCTGTACAAAAAAAATATTCACACTCATTGAGTGGCACTCTCCGTCTTCCGTACTATCCCATTGAGTGGCACTCTCCGTCTTCCGTACTATCCGTCTTCACGGTAACTTTTTAATCTCAATTTACCATTTGGCCGATCGTGAGCAGGGGAGCATTATTGCCGTACCCCCCCCCCCCCATCAAATTAATAGCAATCTGGCTTCGCACCTCTTTTTCCTTTCTTTTCTCCCCTTTTCCCACCTTTTTTTCGTTTTGGGGGGGGGGGGGGCGAGCGCCTCCCCCTTTCTCCCTCCCCTTTGCGACGCCCATGGAGAGGGAGAGGTTAATGGGCGGGGGCCCACTGACGATCGGAGGCGCTGTTCAAAGTAAGTACCTCGCTTGTACCCCGGCCCGCCCTGCAAACAGGACGCTAGGATACTCTGATGAATTCACACTCTGATTGGTTGGATTTTGCGTGACCTGTGATCTGCGCGTCATCACGGTCATGATTCTGCCATAGACATATAATAATATATTATATGTCTATGGATTCTGCAAAGTTTGAAACGCAGCCGTTAAGATTTGACTCATTACTTTTTTTTTTTCCAGCTTAGAGATGTTTGTTTTTCGTTGAAAATGCGTAATAATGTAGGAAGTTCTGTAAAACTGTTCCCGGCACTTTCCCGGGCTCCGTTTCGAATTACGAACGGTCGGATTGGATTATGCGACGCTCAAAATTGTGTCCACATGGGCCGCAATGAAACAGAATTGAAATCACATCCAGTATGGAACGTGTGCATTTCTATAGAAAGTTTTCGGGTAGCATTTGCGTACATTGTACGACTGCGGTCTTGAACAGCTGCAGCAAGATGCTTTATACATAGGTCATAGGCCACTTCCTTCACAAGATTCTGTGAAGCTCATCAGAGTGGCCCAGCGTCCTGATTGCAGGGCGGGGGTACGAACGAAGTACGCGATCTTAGACACTATTGAACAATAGGTGGCGTTCTTAGTCGCGGCATATTTTGCCGACGACTTTGCCGCTTGCACGCGGACAGCGGGACGACGATTTCACCACGCGGCGGCGGCGGCAGGGGAGGGGGTGACACCCTAAGGTCCCGCCTCTAGCGACGCCAGCGTGATGAGCTCTAGCTTGTAGTTGATTTGGTTGTTTGCTGACTGAGGCTAGTAACCCCATGCAACGACGCTACAAAAAGATATTTCTTGCCTCACTGAATTCGCTTGCGCCGTACTATGCCAACTGTGAAGTTTTAAAAAGTGTGTTATACTGACTGGGGGCCTATGGTTGGTGACATTGTTGATATTTTTGCCTCACCTATTTGAAACATGTTAGGCCTATATTTTATTCTGTGGCGGGAGAAACGTCATTTTGTATATGTAACGGTGTTTTGTCTCCTGTTGACATTTTATCTATTCCGTTGTTTCTCCTTTTTTTTCTTACTTAGGCCTAATTAAGGAAACGAAAGCGCCAGTAACACACAGTTGCTATTTTTGAAGAAATAATCTCAACCACATTTTATCATGTTAACCCTGAACTATAAAAACAAAAAAAAACAGGCCAAAGTTGTTAGAAATATTGGTTTGTCCCTCGCCCCTCCCAAAACCTGGATTATATTCTGTGCATTTTGGGCATTCGGTGAAAGTAAAAGATAAAAGAAAGCTCCCAAAATCCAAACACGTATGGGTGCCCAGCAGACATTGGGTGTGTATGTGTTGGGGGGGGGGGGGGTGCGCACTGGACCCGATGAACCCCTCTCCTGATCCTGGTAATAATAAATTGACCAAAGCTTTGCGCGGCTGTAGGGTAGAGTATTGCTCCAATTATTTTCTGTTTCGCCTTTGCTCAGTATCCTTAACACCGAATGTTGAACCGGTGATAAGGCCAAAAAAAAAAATAAGTCGGTCTCTGGTCAGCGCGCGCGTCGATTTTAATCATGCGCGTCGATCTTTTTTTTCCAAAATGTTCCGCGGTAGCTCCAACAGCGCCCTCTATTTCCGCACCTCCTCATTTTTTTTTACCAAAGA